AGTGCTCATTCAATTCAGACAATGCTCATTCGATTCACTTCAAGACTGGCAAAAGTACAGCTGCACTACCAATCCGTAAATTTTATGTAGACCCTTCAGCTATCACGTGTGCGACTTGCTTGTCTATCTAAATATGTATGTATGGATGATATGTTCTTATTATGAGTTTTCCAGTGAGTGCAAATATATTCAACACTGCATAAACCAAAATCAACCCCTAAATCTTCGCTTAAAAGCTGAAATTAAAAGCTCTCCACTGAACCTACAAACAGCAAAGGAAAGCAGCAAAGGAACTCCCAGAGTGCATTTCGCCTCCACAGAGGGATAAATCGTGCGCGACATAAGGGTGACAGACATAAGCACAATGAAATAAGTGAGAAAACACTAGCCAAAGGAATGCATGCATGCCAGCTTAAAGCGATGACGTCACACAATACGTCATTGCTTAAAAAAGAAAACAAGCAAAGCCATTCCTAAAGAGTGGGTCATTTGCTTCTTGAGGGAAGGGGGATGGGTGGTTGATTTTGAAATAGAATTCCTTCTAACATGCTCTTGCCAAAAAAACCATGCACAAAAGCACTGCCAAAAAAACAAGTTCAGTAAGCTGAAAAAAGGCATGTTAGACAGTGAAAAAATATCATTCATACATGCCTGAGGAAAAAAATTCCAAGTGCTTAAAAGGGTTAACAAAAAAATTCATGCCTATAACCAATCACCCACCCCCAGCATGTTTACCATTCAGGATGATGTGCCTAGAATGTTTGATTAAGGTCACTCTCTGCGCAAATTGTACTGAAATAATATATTATTAAAACACATTTATTACTATAATTTATTGACCTCTAGGCAAGTAGCCATAAAGTGCTGGAACGTTATGTAGAGTTCTCCATTGCCAAGTTACCCGGAGAGCATGGTAAGATTCAAGTTTTAGGACTATGTGATAACAACAGAGTGATTTCTGTTCCATTGATACATGATTCAAACGTTTATCCGATGTTGATTTTGCGTGTAGTGTTTTGGCCTCGTCTTATTGTGGATGAACAGAAGCCAGCATGGTTAAAGGTTAACTTTGATCGGTGGCAAAGTGAAGATGCATCTGACAGTGAGAATGATGAACAAGAACAGCAAGAAAAATTAGAGGTGAACAGCTAATGCCTATATGTTCAAACAAGGAAGATACAGTGTGGAAGTGTTAATATTAGTACCCACAAAAAGCAAAGAATGGGAAGGATACAATAAAGAAATGATTATTTGGGTGGAAGAAGTTAAAAGCTAGTAGTTATTGTCACACAACACTTTTCACCTTGACACATTTTTGAATCAAGTTACTTTATGTGACAAGAACTTAGTTCTGTGGCTAGAATTTAGAAACTTTTTAATTACTGTTTTTACACTTCATATTATTCTTGCCTCCTTTTCTTTTCAAATTCTGGAACTTAAACATGACTGTGTATGTTATATAGAGGATATTACATGCCCACACATGGATATGAATTTTATCTTCGAGTATTCAACTCAATATCTCAGTGAGCGCAGGAAACTCATGAGATTTGGAGTTGAACACGAGAAGATAAAATTCATATCCAAAAGCAGGCATGTAATATTCTGTTTATTACATAAACATACTAATGACGACATTTTTGGCAATTTTCCAACGATTTCCGACCACTTTCCGAAGATTTTCGAAAATTGTTCTGAAGGCCAGATGAACAATTCCGAACATTTTCCGAACATTTCCAAATATTTTCCGAAGATTACCACAGATTGCCGAAGATGTTTCAATCATACATCAACAAATTTAAGTGTAGTTAAAGAGACAAAAGAAAAAAGTTATCAAAAAGGAATGATATCTTCACAGTGTGAAAGATAAGAATAGTATCTTCACTGTTCGATGAAGATATGATTTTTTAGTAAAAGGAAAAATCCTGGTATTTCACTGGTGTTTATATAATAAAGTATTGTTATTCATGCATTGTGTGCATTCAGTGAGTTCTGCACATGTTGAGTTAAATTCAAATAGGGACACAAACTTAAACATGATTGCTTGTCTTATTTTAGTATTGTTGTTAGTAATAAAATTGGTAATGATTGCTTTCATTTACATGTACTGGCTTTAATTATAAATCATCAATTGAGAGACATTATTTCCTTTTGTAAGGTAGCTATATTTGAAAGGATCAATAACATTCAAAACAGACGTGTTACCTTTTTGCTTCCAATTTTTAGTGAAGCACTGCAATTATACATGCATCAGACATTTCATTATAGCTGTCAATTTCATTTCAGAATTTTATGGCTCAAAGCAAAGCAATGGAATTAGATCTGGAAAATGAAATTGAAAAAACAAAAAAAGAAGGTATTCTTTTTGTTGTTTTTATCATTTTTGATGTAACTCTCAATAATTTAGGTTAGGTAGGATTAGGGTATGAGAACATAGGACTCAATTGCCTCAGGAAAACATCTCGATTTGAAACAAAAAATCTTGTCAAAACAGTTATTAGATATAAAATGTAAATGACTTTACTTGAAACTACTAAAGGTTACACTCTGTATTGTACATTGTATCTCAGTTTTATCCCATTAAGTGATTACCTTAGTAGGTGATGAAAAAGTCTCCTCAAACTTCTAAAACACTCAGAAGAAAATGAGCAACCAAAGAACTAACAAGAAGAAACTGAGAGATCTTTGTTTGCCATTGTTTATAGCTTTAACACAACGACACATCAGCAGGAATTTTTTGAACAAATTAAAATGTGTAGTTAATTAAAATGTGCTGCACATTATAGGAGAAATGAAATTGTGTGTTAGTGCTTGTAAATACACTGTCAAATATGACTAAAACTATTTTGGAGTTAATGAAGTGTAGAAGTCAGTGATTTGATACCAGTGAGTAAATATCTAGTTGTTATCATTCAAACAGGTGAATGCACTCCTGTAAACTGTGATGATTGTTGATAGTCTTGTGAAATTGCTGTGCAGTGCTTTTTAATCAATGTAGTGAAAATGTGGTAATAATTATTTTGGGTGTCAAAAATATTGTTCAAATGGTTATCTAATAGGTGTCATGGCTGCAGCATCTGTCCAATTGTTTACTATATTCATGAAACCTATTTTATTTTCAGTTTTCAGATTTATTCGAACATTCTATTTGGTTGTGTATAATCTTATGCAAGGAGCATTGTTTCTTTACATCACATCAGTTCTTTTGTCCAAAGTAATTTTTCAAGGAACAGGTACGGCTAAGTTTTATGAAATTATGTTTGTTCTAGTAATAAGAACATAATTTTTATGTATTCATCATCACTACAACCCAGCACCAACCTTATGATGACTGTTACTGAACAACTTGTGTTGTCTTGTTTGTTCTACTTCAAAAAGTCCCTGGATCATATACATGGAAAGAACAGGTCAACAAGTTTCCAACAGTCTGTGTTTTTCACCAATAAAAGAAACTTCTGCAGCCAAACCACATCATGAGAGAATTTTGCTGCTGAATGTTTTCTGGAGCTATATTCACAGACGACCAATATCAAGAAAATAATGCCCAAGTTGTGTTCCTTTTTGGCATCAATCTACAGGGATGTAACCATCACAGTTTCTTCATGGTGCTGTCTACAAATTGGCACATTCCGAAGGTTTAACAGGGTGTTAAAGTGTTACTTGTATGTCACTTATAAAAGATACACATACTGTAAACTGAAGACCTTTTAACAGACAGATAGTAATTTGATCCCTGTATAGAGGACATCCACAGAATTTCTTTTATTCATAACAGATGGTGTGCATATCAAAGGTTAAAACAACCTGGTTATTTTTCATTATAATAGCAGTTACTGAAATACATTTTTTTTTTAATTCAGGTGCCTTCCCTCAAGCTTATGACACAGTCAGTGATGTTTTAGCTTCTTGTCAGCTGGCTTCTTTCTTGGAAGTCATTCATCCTGTTGTTGGCATTGTAAGAAGTGGAGCTCTGGCTCCATTCATGCAGGTAGATTTTTTTTTCTGCACATCACAGTCACTGTGTCTGTGAAAACAGTTAAGTGCCGTGCTTGGGTAACCCACATAGTCATGAAATAGACATAGTTTCTTTGTAGTCTTCTACATGTATGTAAACCAAATGTACCCTCTCTACAGATCATCACCATCATCAAAACAGTATTGAGCTTTAAAATTCAAATCTTAGGAATAGTTTATCAGTGTAATGGGGTGTTTTTCAAATTTCACGGTTTAACATAAAAACTGGTGGAAAGCAATTCATAAGATCAGTTTACAAGAAAGGTGTGAAACTGTGAATTGCCCCTATACTTTGTCAAGATTTGTGGATTTTCTTATGGTATTCAGTGGTCCTAATGCATGGTCTATAATTTGGAGTGCAATGTATGCAGTGGTCTTGCACAACAAATTGATTAATTCTCTTTTTTTAGGTCTTTGGAAGAAACTTGCTGCTTTTTTTAGTGGTTGTTGCAAATAAGGAACTTCATAAAGAAGCAGCTGTATTTGGGCTCTTTCTTGTTTGGTCTCTCATTGAAGTTGTTAGGTATGAGTTTATCAAAGTCAAATACAAATCTGTCTTTTACCAAAAAGAAGATAGTGTCCCATTTTCTCTAAGAAAATAATATACGCTTGAGGTCTAGGCCTAATACCCCCAGGGGGTTATGGCTAAAGATGAAGTGAAGTGAAGAGGTCTAGAAAGCTGCTAGTAGATGTACGAGCAGAAAGTGAGTTAGTTCAGCAGTGTCTCTAGACCGTAAAGGTACATTATTTGGTTTAGAATTAGTATGAAAAAGCGATCATAATGTTTACATCTTAGAAGGGGCAGTGATTGCACTGGCAACACAACATCTGGATATCTGTACTTTATAATTTCCAGCCGTGATTCTATCAAAAAAAAATAATGCATGTTCAGCTCCAATAGTGAGTATACAGCAGCCACATTCTAAAACAATATGGAACATTTTAATGTTCTAGAAAGTATACAACCAATCTAATCATCTAATTTTGCAGCTAACTGTTCAAGGAATGTAAAGACTAGAACGATGTTTGTTCTGGTGTAGGATTAGATCACTTCTGGTTGAGATGGAACTTTGGTCACAAAAGTGTCTGTTTCAAGAGGACATTCTATTTACTTTTCATAACAGTTTAAATTTCAATGTTGTTGTTCTAGGTACCCATTTTATGCCTCTCAGGTGGTTGGATTTAGAATTGAACTACTGATATGGCTTCGATACACAATGTGGATTCCTCTGTATCCCTTGGGTATTCTCTATGAAGGTACAATAGTCATGATAGTAATGTGGGGGGCCATAAACAACCAAATGTTTTTTTCAAAAGAATGCCAGGCCAGGAAAATTAAAATGAAACATGGCTGATTGTGGTGTTCCCATTTGTCAAGTCAGAACTGAAAATCGCAAAACTGCCCATGCGATTGATCAGCAAACGCTTCTTAGTTTAGTAATTACAATGGCTGCTACGTAATAACAGGTTATTTCAGGGGCACCCAACGGATCGTTTCGGTAAATTATCTGTTCGGAAGGTCTTTAATCCCCTTTGATTTTCTGAAGAGAGTTGTCACCTCGAACTTTCGTGATATGAGAAATTTAATGTCTGTTGTTTTCGGATTGTTAAAAATGTCGTTTTGTGTACGCTAAAAAGGTAAGCTATCATTTTCGGAAAGGCGATAAGACCTAAGGGTTTCGGGAAATGGACCAAAAAGCCCTAATAAATTCGACAATACTCAAGTTTTCCTAGAATAACCGAACAGATAAAAATTTTTTTAGCGCAACCTAAAATTAACCTACAGAGCTTTAAAAGTACTCTACGTAGCCTAAAACAGCGTTTTAAAGCATACGAGAGAAAACGGTCGTTGGGTGCCCCTGTTATTTGTGAATCTTCTTTAAAACTAATGTTCCAAGTAAATGCTGTTGAAAAGGAGGACTCTGCTGAGGGTTGTCTTACATATGAGCCTGAAAATAAAAATGAAGTGCACAGTAACAAGAAAAGAGAATGATAGAAACGTGAGTACTAAAGGGCCGTATTGACAAAATGTTGGCCGGGGGGAGTACTCCCTTATATGGGCTATATAGGTATGTGCGGCCCAAAAGGGTAGGGTTTTTCGGCCGTTTTGGTCATAAATAGGGTATCGATTTTTGCCATTTTGGTTACAAATCGGTTATGGTTTTAGAACTCTAGTCTTGAATTGGGTATGTTTCTTAGAAGAAGCTACTTTTTCATCATTATTAATAAGACCGTCAACAAAAGCCCTTCATAACTTATGTTTGGGGCAACTGTGTCAGCCGCAAAGGTCATAAACAGGCTATCGCATTTTTGGTCAGGTCATAAATAGGGTAGCAAAAAACGCAGATTTTGGTCATAAATAACCTAAGGGTTTTGAGAAGTGGGCCACACACCCCCACCCAACTTTTCTGGAAGTACCCCCACCCTCATGAATATCGGTCCGTGGTCTTCATAATACGGACCAAACGCGCAGCGAGGTACGTGCCAAAAATGAACCGATATTCTTCCAATGCAGTCCCGAGCAAGCTTGGTTAGTGAGAGTGTTATTACACGACTGAAAATATCGAACAAAAAAATCCCATGATCATGGACTGGAAAGAGACCGTAAACTCGTCTTGAGAGCTCACTTAGCGGTTACTAACTCATATATGTTATGACCTTTTTTTTTTACCAAAAAGAAAAGAAATTTTGAAGAAAAAGATAAATACTCTTTTGCGTGTAAGTTGATTTTTTCAGACTAGTGAGACAATCTCAGATAGTGCAGAGCGCAATTGATAGCTCTGATACAGTAGTCCCATAAGTACTCACCCCTGCTCGGTTCACTTCCGGTTT